AAATCTGACATGAGGCTAAGCATGTATTCCCACACAGAAGGCTTAAACTCTAGGGAAATAAGGCGTATTTTGAACCATTAAGCAAGCACCTTTTAARAGATATCATTTGAAAAACAAAAGAACGTAAAGGGTTTTGGATGCACATCGTCCTTCAAGAAAGCTCAACTACACACACGCATAAACTCTTCGCGAAATCATGGTTAAGATAATATAACATCTAAGCGCGGGCATACCTCTGTAATATAAACATAGCAAATAAAGATGAAAATATAAGGAAAATAAGGAAAACTACATCTTGATCTTAAAATAAGAAACTGAGCAGTTTGTTTGCATGCTTTGCCTACATGAGCGAATTTTTAACCGCAAATATTTTTTTTAAATGTTGTTGGCATTGCATTGCWTTGCATTCTTTCATACATACTTGCTTCACATCCAAATAACTGAACTCTTGCACAAACATGACTATACCAGGTTTCTGCTATGATGCGGATATAGCGAGCAGGAAAGATGTGCTTAAAAACTTGCWCAGTAATTTCTCCTCCATTTGAGTTTCCTGTGAACTGATATATTCAGAAATAATGATATTATCATAGATGGTGATATACAGCCTTTTGCAAAAATTATGAGAATTGTCGAAATATCTAAATATCATAATATCGAGTGAATGATGGGTAATCCCGCGCGATGCTCTTAGTCCCTTGTCTTTGTAGTTTAGTTTTTTTTGGCGACAGACTTATCCGTAGCTCTGAACATTTTCTCGATGTCAACAATGAATTATTCTAGCAAACCCGCGTGTTCCGGACAATATATGGACATGGATATTATGATATTTAGATATTTARACAATTCTCATAATTTTTGCAAAAGGCTGTATACTTAGCTCTCTACACTATATATGTGTATTGAGTTCTCTTTAAATGGGATCAGCTGCTTCTTCATATGATTATAGATGGTGATATATATTCGTTTCGGTTGATAGCATGCTTTGAAGTGACATCTTAGTGTCAAGTTAGGAGTCGTTTTTACACTGGATATTCTATGCTGCTTCTGTCAACCCCTATAATACTACTGTCTATAATGTATAAAGACGAGTGTAAAGGAACGGATATGCTCGTTGTTGACTTGGTGGTATTGAATGATGCTGATACGCCAAATGCGCATGTATATCCAGCATCACGGTGCCATTATTTCTACTTGGAACTGCTCCAAGAAGGACAAAAATTGAGTTGTATGTCAAACGGAACTTGAAGGAGCTTTTGCCGCACATGACAGCGAGAGGCATTCCGGAGTGTCAAATGGTCAAAGCCACTTGGAAAAGACCTCTCAGCCATGGAAGAGCAGCAAAAGAAAGGTTATAAATTAGTATTTGAACTACTAACAACGTTACTACATAACATGAGAGCCTTTCAAAAAGATATATGAGTCTCAACGAAAAAAAAAACCAAGACAGTTATATTCAGCAACGAAATAGAGCCATAGAAGGGTATCTAAAACTGTACCATGCGYTTAACTTACTATGCGTTTAGCTCCAGTCTCTGTGTACGTCAACCACTGACCCTCTAGAACTGCATAMGATACACTAAAAGTCTTRACAAACTCGTCATTGTTTGGATTYCCTTGTATYGCTATTGACTTGATCRTCTTGACGAGCCCTAGGTCTACTGCAAGGTGCTGGTCAGCGTTAGATAAACTAGCACACCAAGCATGCGTATKGTGGAGTAAGGCYTGTTGAGGTCCAAAACTTGCAGAGGGATTTCGTGATGTCGTTGAGATCAGAGTTGCATTAYCAGGAARGACAAGAGGGTCATTACAATCTGAGAACAAAAATAGAACTAATCAGAAAAATAAAACCAAAAATTCAAAACAAAGACAAAGAGAGCAAGACTTGACACCAAATAACGAAACRATTTTCAATAAAAGTGATTGATTTTTAAAAGATGAAGAAAGTGAATCATCTGTTGTGAATATCATCTTCATCCTAGGGGCGTATCCAGAATTCTTCCCTGTCCTTCCACTTGTGTTATAAGAAAATTCATAACATTACATAACATCGAATAAATCGCAGTAGAATTMCATCCTGCTGTTTTTCTCTAAAAAATGTTTACGCTGCAACAATGGTYAAATTTCTAGTTTTGAATTTTTTTCAAAATTAATTTGGCTCTGGAAGGGGGTCAYCGTTACCGCGTGGGCCACTCTGATTATGTCCCTGATCCTATCATGTTCATATCAGAGACCAGAGATACAACTGCAGAACAAACTCTTTGTGCAGTTTGTTTGCCAGATTTCTATTTTTGTTCWCAGATGTCTGGAGAGAAAGAGCTAGAAAGAACCGTACGTACCTTTGTCTGTTGCCATGACCACGATTATATACTGAAAAATAGATAGATCGTAAWMAATCTTTATATYAAAATGCGTTTTGATCTCATGGTTTTGTTTTTTATCGCTGGCCTTTAATACTCACTTGATTATAGGACCTTCAGGATTTTTTAAAACATGATATATCATAGGTTTTTGATTCGAAAAGAGCTAAAGCCAAATGACTGTAAAGTTATTATAATGAATAATGGAATGTTTCGGGAATCGTTTACTTAATTGAGTTCTCTTTGTTCAATACTACATACTCTGAATAGAGATTTGTACTAAAGAGCATTCTAGAAGACGATGGAAACAGTTTTTTATACAGCTAATTTTGGGTTACACATATATTGGTAGATTTGATAATGTATACCACAATATATTTGTCAGTTTTTTCACACAGATATCAGCTTAACTCTAATCCATTGTTGTGTTGTTGCTCTAATCAGTTTATTCAACATATTGTTTGGAATAGCAGTGCACAGGGAATAATTCATACTGAAAACATGGAAATATACCAGTGTTTGAAACTAGTGTCTGAAATAAAACAAATCAGTTTGGATTCGAGGAGACTTTGTGTTTAGATGAAACCTAAAAAAAGCTTTTGAGAGGGTAGGAATTTAGGGCTTGTAAATTGACTCATATCGAAAGGTCTCCAAATTGATAAAAAAGCAAAGCAGAACTGAAAAAAATAAATAAAAATGGAAACTTCCTTACTTACTTGGTAAACCGYCAGTATAACGATAACCCACATTATTCAGTGCAGCTGAAGTTTACTGATTCAACACTTCATAATTCGATCGTGTACTTCATGGAATGATGCTTAATTGAAACACTTTTCTAYTGACGACTGCATGCGTGGTCGTTTTAATTAATAATGACTAAAGAAAATAAAGAAGAATAGACATTTTTGGTTAAATCATGTCGAGTTCCAAAGAGCACAAATGGGATCAATGATTACTGGCACAATCTTTACAATTAATGTTTTAAATGTTTTCTTGCATGTATYGAGTCATTTTGCCAATAAAATACTTCTGTGACYATATATTTTTTTATTTTTTCAAAAACAGATTTCTTGCTATAACAATCASTGACAATAATGAACTAAAACAAGAAAATAGTTTATTTATTACCATYATTTTTTAGTTATTTTCATTCATGTTTATACCAGCAGCGATTAAATAGTCAATATCATAACCAAAGTTATGAAATATATCAGTATTAGAACAAAAGTTTCTGAATACAATTAATTATTGACTCAAGTCAATTAATCCGATAGATTATAACAAAACAGTAATAACTAATTGAAGCAGTAACCTTAGCATCCTTTGAATCATGAACAATATTTAGTCTTAAAGAATTAAAATTCTCTTAAGCATTCTTTAGTCTCTCTCTTGCTCTATATTTCCTTGAATCAATGCCATTCACAATGGACCGTGAAGGCAATCACATGTGTGCTTCATTACGTCTTCATTGCGTGAAATATTTAAAGATTTTACAGTTTTATGGCACCCGCCCAGAGTAGTTTCAACTAATAGGTAACAATATTCTTGTTATTGTTTTAWTTAGTGTAAATGAAGCATTGCTATTGATGTGGCTGTTTTTGTTGGTGTTTCACAGAATGATCATGCATGCACAAGGATTTCATTGGGTAAACTGGTTCAAGCCTACCTTACAAGAGAAGCTGTTAACACAATTGAAGAGTGTATTACTGATGTGCGCACTTGGTTGGTTTCAAATCGTCTGCTGATTAATGACTCAAAGACCGAATTCTTAATAATTGGCTCACGTCAACAACTAGCTAAGATCAACGTTGAGAGTGTTACAGTAGGTGATGCTANAGTGTCTTTGTCGTCTTTGAATAATTTGACTCCAAATCTCACTTTTTTTTGTCTACATCGACTTTTTATGGTAAAATTTACAATTTGAGAAGTTTTTGAAGTTAAACAATTTGGAACAAGCAATTTTGAGAAGAATATCCGCCATTTTAGGATCCGCCATCTTGGACCGCCATCTTGAATTTTCTAAAATGGCATTAAAAAACTAAGCATTGAGGCAAACAGCTCAAAATGTCTTAAATACTTCTCAAACTAACATTTAATGAATAAAAAAGTGAGTTCTGATGATTTTAATAAAATTTTCTCCCATGTGAAAAAATGACAGAAAACTACCCACCCCTCCCCCAAAGTTTTTATTGTCGAAAAAGTATTATGGTATTGTAGAGTCAGCAATGGGAGCAAGCTCAAATAGGTAAAAGATGCATAATAAAACAAGAAATAAGCTTTAAAAATGAAAAATTAAGCTTATTTTACATTTTTGAAAACCTATGTGTCAAAAACTGGTTGCCATGGCGACATGGATGACGTTATCAACAAAAAATTTATATCAAAATCTGCCCAGATAAATTTTAGGAAAGTCCGAAAGTTTCAGAGCTCTAGCTGTCTTGGTTCGAAAGTTATTGGCTTTTTACGCGAGGGGGGGCTCAAAAGGCCCCCTCCAGTCTGAATAGGGTTAAAGAAATTCACAACATAGAAAGATTCAAAAAAGAACTGAAGACATACCTTTTTAAAATGTCTTACCTATAAGAACTTTTATTATTTATTATTTATTTATTATTATTTATTTATTATCTATATATTATTTATTTTACTGTAAACAGCGCCATCGAATATTTATAGTGAGGGGGCTATATAAATTTCATTTATTATTATTATTATAAACTACAAAAACTATAAAAGTACTGTATACAACATATTGGGAGCAGTCTGAAAAAGGTATAATTCCAAAATTCCAAACAATCTTGTTGCTGCTGTTCTCTCCCTCTATTTTGTCGAAAAGAACAGCATTATCAAAGAATGACGCATATGGGGAAAATGCGCTYTCGCAATGTTAGATTGAAATCATTTGAGCCTTGTTGTTGATATAAGATAGTCCGAGGTAGTTTTTTCAGTTTTGATCAAGCGAAAGGATGGTTATTAAATGGCGACRCCATTTTGTGCTGCAGAGGATGATGGTAGTTGTAGTCCTCGCACATTTATATGTCCGCTAATACAGTCCTCCTAATTGTTTTTGCTTTGTCTAAGCGAAAATAAAAGTATTTGTGCCGTTTCTAAAAAGAAAAATATGTAAAAACTGCTTTTAATGAGATATTTTAGCTATCAGGCTATAGGGGTTTTGAAAAATGCGAGGACTACAGCTACCATCATGATTTGCTGCACAAAATAATGGCGTCACTGTATATGCCTTTTGTACATTTTTCTCGATATGGTCCATGATGAGATATTTCTCAGTTCATAGTTTCTCAGTTCATGTTAGTAAATCGTAGTATCGATAATGTTCTCTGATTCCTAAATGTTGAGGAAATACGTTGGCAGTTGCGTTATTCAGCTCACATGTCATCAAGGCTTCATTGTAGTTAAAGGACTTGCATCCGTTACTAAGATTACAGTATGTCATACACTGATAGTGATTGGTTACTTGGTATAGCCGTTTAGTCACGTGATTCCTTAGAGCATTTGGCTGTTCAGAYGAATAAGACATCTTGCTGGGGTTTTCTGTTGGAAAATAAGAGAGCAGTGGATTGAATTGGTACAAATCAGTGAAAAGGCATTGGGCCTACAATCCTATGCAAAATAAACGAAACACCCTACCCCTCTCCCCCACACAGAGTTGCCTGGGAAGGAGCCTAGTCCGAGGTATTTATCTTTTCTTCACCTGAGAAAAATCAAATTTCACAAGCTCTAAAAGAAATGCTTCCAAGGTGGATAAKCCAAGAAAAAAATGCGTACCATTTACTGACTTTAGCCTTCCTTGATCTAAAAATCTTGATTATACTTAATGAATAATTACTGGAAATAATTAAAGCAAGCACAAATGACGATTTTTGAGTCATCCATCTTCGAATCTTCTCCCCGGCGTTTCATCATCCGAAATGAGGTCCTAGCAAAATATCTTTATCMAAATGAAATTAAATGACACGTTTCTTACCATTCATATAGTCCTCRATGCAGTATCTTGCCTTCCAAGATGAATCCAACTTCTTCAGKTTGTAGACATAGAACATGTAGCAGTTGCGCACATAGATATCCAMACTGTACTGACAACAGTCTCCRTTATTATGAAAGCAAACCTTTCTTTTCACAATACCCTCACTGACTGTAGGTAAAGCTCCTTGCATATAACCTGGGGCTGTAGCTCCACAGTGATTCTGGGCCACACAGGTTGACGGTATACGAGAGAACCCTTTAGTACTCTTGAAGACATACCACATGGTCTCATTGAGGTTGCTGTCATCATTGACGTATGGTACAGAACT